TGGCAGTATTGGAGCAGAGGCGGGGAGTGACGCGAGGCTAAAATTGAGCGGCGTCCTGTCAAACAGCCATAGATAAGAATCCGCGGAAATATTACTGGTGAAAGTAGCGGAGTTGCCAGCGCAGATTGCGAAAGGAACATTAATCTGTGCCTGAGCGTTATACTGGAAAAGGAAGAACAGAAAGATGAAAATCGCAGCTTTGCTAGTGTGTAGTAAGATGGTCATAAAATATAAAGCGACTGGGTGGGAATAGGGATCGCAAATGTAGCGCGGCTCACCTGGATAAAAAGGAACGTTATTTTATCTTTCGGCCAGTCTGTCCGGCAACCTGCAGCTATTGCTCCTTGATAAATCTTCTTAATGCACTATCAGTTTGTTTTTATGAAATAGGAGCTAGTCAAGTGGCAGGGAATTGTAAAATTAATTAAACCTATACTTGTTTAGCAATCTTTTATAGGCAAAGGCTTCCATTTAAAACATCTTTTCGGTAATTTCGCAGCACTTTTAAAAATTTACGCTTCCATGGCTTTTGATCTTGATCTCATCCAACGCGTTTACGAGGAAATGCCTGCCAAAATTGACCAGGCCCGCAAACTCGTAGGACGCCCGCTAACACTTGCTGAAAAAATTCTTTATTCTCACACCCATGAGCCCGCAACCCGTGCTTATGAGCGTGGTAAGAATTATGTAAACTTTTCACCCGACCGCGTAGCGATGCAGGATGCGACGGCTCAGATGGCCCTCCTTCAGTTTATGACGGCTGGTCGTGACAAAGTAGCAGTACCCAGTACGGTACACTGCGATCACCTGATCCAGGCTAAAACCGGTGCTGTGTCTGACCTTACGACCGCTAATGAAGTAAATAAGGAAGTATATGCCTTTCTTTCTTCTATCTCTAATAAATACGGCATCGGTTTCTGGAAACCCGGGCGCAGGTATCATTCCACCAGGTAGTGCTGGAAAACTATGCGTTTCCGGGCGGTATGATGATTGGTACTGATAGCCATACGCCAAATGCAGGTGGCCTGGGTATGATTGCCATCGGTGTGGGTGGCGCAGATGCGGTGGATGTAATGGCTGGCCTCGCCTGGGAGCTGAAGATGCCTAAACTGATCGGTGTAAAGCTGACCGGCAAGATGAGTGGCTGGACCAGTGCCAAGGATGTAATTTTGAAAGTAGCTGGTATCCTGACCGTAAAGGGCGGTACCGGTGCTATTGTTGAATATTTTGGTGAGGGTGCCGATAGCCTGAGCTGTACCGGTAAAGGTACCATCTGTAACATGGGTGCAGAGATCGGGGCTACGACCTCGTTGTTTGCTTATGATGATAAGATGGGTGCTTACCTGCGTTCTACGGATCGTGAAGGTATTGCCCGCCTGGCAGATGGCATCCGCGAACACCTGCGTG